GCCCACGGACTGGCAGTAGACTGGGTGTCCAGGAACCTCTTCTGGACCAGCTATGATGCCAATAAGAAGCAGATCAATGTGGCCAGGCTGGATGGATCTTTCAAGAATGCTGTCATCCAGGGTTTAGACAAACCCCACTGTCTGGTGGTGCATCCTCTACTGGGGTGAGTGTTACCTCCAGTTAGTCAGGCCTGCATTCAGTTAAAGATCTGGACTAGCTCTCTCTCGTTCTCTTTTTCTGTTTTCCACATCACCAAATAGTACTCGAATAACCCTCCTCTGACTTTCTGATTGGATGGCTTTCCCCTTTTTTCCAAGCTCCGAGTGCGTCTTCTTAATCCTTGACCGCTTTTCTTGTCATGCGATGCTCCTGATGTATGTTGTGCTGTGTTGTCGGTGGAGCTTCTCCGGAAAACAGATTTCACTCCTGCTCTACATCTCACATTATTCATCCCCCTCCGCAGGAAGCTTTACTGGACTGATGGAGACAACATAAGCATGGCTAACATGGATGGTAGCAACCGCACCACACTTTTCACCAATCAGAAAGGACCAGTAGGTGAGCAGATGTGTGTTCCTACTTCAAAAAAAAAAAAAAAAAAGCCTGTGAAATAGTCTCTATTTAACACTACAGAGTATAAACGCTCACTAAGCATATTAGTAACTCAGATATATATGTGTAATATTATTATTGTTATTCTTTCCATACAGGCCTCTCTATTGACTATGAAAAAGAACAGCTGTACTGGGTCAGCTCAGGCAACAGCACCATCAACCGGTGTCAGCTGGATGGATCTAATCTGGAGATCCTGGAAGGGGTTAAAGGCAAACTTACCAAGGCCACTGCACTGGCTATTATGGGTAAGACAAAAAACGATAATACTTCAAATTTGTCATTTTTTGTTTGCTGTATTGTTACAAATTTAATTGTTGATCGTTACATAACATTTGTGCATATATTCTAATGAGATCAATATCTCAAAATCACTTAATAGCAAAACATACAAAGATATGAATCAATGTCCGTTGCTGCAGGAGACAAACTGTGGTGGGCAGATCAGGGAACTGACCAGATAGGAACATGTGACAAGGAGGATGGAGGGAACTGGAAAGTTTTGCGAAACAACACCTCTCCTATGATGCACATGAGGATCTATGATGAGGATGTGCAGAAAGGTAATAAAATATCACTTCAAAAGATTACTGCTGTTTGTGGGTTTTGTACCGAGCCAAAAAAGTAATTATACTTGACTTGAAGAGTTGAAAAGATAATTTAGATTACACATAGAGAAGAAAAATCTCATTGATTCTCACTGATCTCCTCCTTATTCCTTCAGCACGTGTCAACCTGTGCAGCAACAACAATGGTGACTGCTCACAGCTGTGCCTGCCCACCTCACCGACAACCAGAGCCTGCATGTGCACTGCTGGATACAGCCTTAAGACAGGGCAGCAGTCCTGTGAAGGTGCTTCACAGCTACAACCACACATATGATAGAAATGCATTGTGGCCTAAAAAACAAAAACTTACTGTACTCTCTCTCTGGGTAGGTATGGGCTCTTTCCTGCTGTACTCTGTTCATGAGGGAATCAGAGGAATCCCGCTCGACCCGGCAGACAAATCTGATGCCTTGGTGCCGGTGTCTGGCACCTCCCTGGCCGTCGGCATCGACTTCCACGCTGGTGAGTTCCACTGAAGGACGTCAGTAAATCCATGGCCCGGTCTGAGTCACATTTTAAACCTGTTATTATCTCCTCTTCAGAGAATGACACCATCTACTGGGTGGACATGGGCCTGAGCACCATCAGCAGGGCTAAAAGAGACCAGACATGGAGGGAAGATGTGGTAACCAATGGCATTGGCAGGGTGGAGGGCATCACTGTTGACTGGATAGCAGGTCTAGTCATTACGAAACTGAAATCATATTTTAAACTTATCCGACATTTATGTTTATTTTATATTACACAAGCTCAGATAAAGGACAGGAACTGATTTATATCCTTGTTCTTTTATAGGAAATATTTACTGGACTGACCAGGGCTTTGATGTGATTGAGGTGGCGAGGCTGAATGGCTCCTTCCGCTATGTGGTCATTTCTCAGGGCCTGGACAAACCCAGAGCCATAACCGTCCACCCAGTGAAAGGGTAAGGCTGCCTGCCAACAGTTTAATTTTGCTCTCTGGGTAATACTGCTGCCTTAAGGTACTTGCACTGTACATTAGTTTCAGCCCTACTGCTATATTTCTAAATCCCCCTGACCGCACTTTTACATCATCTCCTGTGTCTTTGTGTGCAGTTATTTGTTCTGGACAGAGTGGGGTCAGTATCCTCGGATTGAGCGCTCTCGGTTGGATGGCTCCCAGAGGTTGGTCATGGTCAATGCGAGCATCAGCTGGCCAAATGGAATCTCCATCGACTACGAGGTGCGGACCACAGCTAAAATCATTGCACTTAACAATCCCCTAAACACACTTGTCTTTATTAATAGAGGGTGTTTCCCACGTCTAGTTTGAATAATTACACTGCGATTTTTCCAGAGACTGGACCTCTGGTCTTCTGTGCAACAATAATTACTTATTTTTTACTGATTAAATCATAGTAGTTGGCCATTACATGTTCTGTGACCTCATAAATTTAATGTAGATGTTTATGTATAATGAACTCTGCTTCATGTGACCGCAATGCCATTTGAAGACATTTGGTTTTTCTACCATGTAGCCTAATAATATTTTTAAAAGCTGTGATAATTTAGCTTTAAAGCTGCCACAGATGTTAATTATTGCCAGTGTTGGTTGTGTAAAATCACCCAGTATTACATATTGTCTATTAAAGCATCACATGCTTAAGTGAAGGAGCCAAAGTCTACATTAGAATTATTTCTGTGATGTCTATGATTTAACAAGGTAACCTAAAATCATTTTGATTTTATTTACATTTGGAAATTATCAACATTGTTTTCTTTGTGCTTTGCCTCTGCAGGAGGGTCTGCTGTACTGGTGTGATGCCAGGACAGACAAGATTGAACGCATCAACCTGGAGACCGGAGAGAACAGGGAGCTGGTGCTGGCCAACAACAACATGGACATGTTTGCCGTGTCTGTATTTGAGGAATACATCTATTGGAGTGATAGGTCAGCTTTCCCACTGCTCTGCATGACTCAACATGAAAGGTTTCATATTATATCTCGGTGTTGACTTGTGGTATTATTGTCTTTTGTTTAGGACCCATGCTAACGGCTCCATTAAGAGAGGCAGCAAAGACAATGCTACAGATGCTGTGCAGCTGAGGACGGGCATTGGCGTGCAGCTGAAAGACATCAAGGTCTTCAACAGGGCCAGACAGCAAGGTAGGAACTCACACAGAACACACATACAGCTCAATCTTACCCACAAAAAAAACAGATATGATAAAAAAAAAACTTTTACCACCCAACTAAATCAACACCCTCCAGAAGAAATGCTGCTTAACACGCTTCATTGTTCAGCTAACAGCACATTTCATGAACGTATCACACTCTCCGCAGGAACAAACGTCTGCAAAGACAAGAACGGCGGCTGCGAGCAGCTGTGTCTTTTCCGCGGCAACAGCGAGCGCACCTGTGCGTGTGCTCATGGCATGCTGGCAGAGGACAACCGCAGCTGCCGAGACTACGACGGATACCTGCTGTACTCGGAACGTACAATACTGAAAAGCATTCACCTGTCTGATGAGACGAACCTCAATGCGCCGATAAAACCATTCGAGGACCCCGACCACATGAAAAACGTCATTGCCCTCAGCTTCGACTACCACGGCGGTGGAGGGAAGGGAGCCAACCGCATCTTCTTCAGTGACATTCATTTCGGCAACATCCAGCAGATCAACGATGACGGCACGGACCGCAAGATTGTAGTGGACAGTAAGTGTGGTTACATTTAATTGTTTAACCTCAAAACAGACACATAGGTTTGCTTCGTGTCACTGCAACCATCGCTGCATCTAAACCTCTCCCTGCTCCGTGTGCATATATTTCAGCTGTGTTGCCCCGTTGTCCCGTTCTTGTATCCTCTCCATTAATAATTGAATGTTGTCCCTCGTCCCCCCTGACACTGTCAACAGACATCATCACACATTTTGACAACACAAGCACCCGAGAGGATCCGCTGTAATGAACACACAGCTGCAGCTTTTCAACTAGTGAAGATTGACATCACTTAGAGCTGCCACTTGAAGAAAACTCACTTGCACACTCGAGCACACAGACACACATGCTTGCTTTTCGCTTGTTTCGACGCTGAAGTGTCTTTTAAATCTCTTTAAATAATTCAAGAGTAGGTTGTTGAACTCCATCCAGAAAAACATCACATATAAAAGCCCTGGACCAAAGCTGTTCTTAGCAAACAATATTCAAACATTAATTCTTTTGATAGTCATGACAGAAAAACAAGCAGAGTGCATGGGGTTTGTGTGTTTGTTGATGTTGCATTGAGATCAGGATTTTTAACAGACTGTACAAAATAATAGCTTGTTTTTCCACATTAGTTTTTTTATTTCCATTTTTTTTTTCATTTGGAGGTAATCCAGCAGAGGTTAGGAGAGTGTGTTCATGCAGATAAGACCCAGCACTAAATCAAAAATGATCATATATCAGCTGCTGGCATAATCAGAACATAATTATATTATCGTGTTGCATCACTGTTTTACAACATTCTCCTGTCCAATATAATCATTCCAAACAAATTGTAATTAAAACCTCCATGACTCATTTTGTTACAACATTTCCCAATGGAATAAATTCTGTCATAAGTGGATGAAAAATGAATGTGGAAAAACCATATTTTTTTTTACAAACTGCAATGAAATTATTCACAGTGGAATTCAGTTTATTGCACTTAACATCACTTTTAGTATTTTATGTGTAATATTGCATGATACTTCCATTTCTGTCCATCTATTTATCAATCTAGTTCCCAAACTAAGTTATTAATGAGGTAGCAGTGTTTCCCTCGGGTCAAAGAGTCAGTTTTGGCTTCTCTCTGAGGTTGTGTCCAGCTCAAAGGGCCTCACGACGTCTCTGCCCATCACATGAGGGCAACCAGTCAGACAGCTTTTGCACCATGCCCATCGCTCTCTGCCGAGCTCTACCAAGTCTCGTCTAAACTTCTGAGACATGAAGACGTACAGTACAGGGTTCACCACTGCCACTGAGGATGCCAACAATCTGGCCAGGATGGCAACAGTTTTGTAGCCACGTGACGTGGATATAGAACCTCCAATGAAGGAGAACATGAGAGCGTAGGAGGGCAGCCACAGCAGAGTGAAGACCAGGACTAAGAGCGCTGTAGTGTGAGTGACTTGGGTCTGGTAGCGTTCAAGCCGGGGCGCGTTCCCCAGCTGCTGTGCACGTTGAAGAAAGCAGTAGATCTTCGCATACATCCCTACAATTATGCCTAGCGGGAGAGCAAAGCCGAAGAGGAAGAGAACAATGCTGTAGAGAAGCTGGCTGAAGTCGGAGAGGAAGGCAAAGCAGTACACTGCGCTGGACGTGCTGATTGTACGGAAGGCAAACTGTGGTGCTGCCAGAGCAAAGGCAGGGACCCAGAGGAGAGTTACCATCAGCTTAACGTGCCTGCGCATCCTCGACCGGTACGTCCAGGTGGGATGCACCACCGTGAGGTAACGTGTCACAGCCAAAGCCGCCAGAGTGAACACGGAGGCAGCCGAGCAGGCCACGCCCAGGAAGCTGATGGCTTTGCACATGAAGTCGCCGAAAGGCCAGAAGCCCAGCGTGATGGCCGAGGTGTGGAAGGGCAGGCAGAGCAGCAGCAGCAGGTCAGCAGCGCTCAGAGCCAGCAGCAGTGTGTCCGTACCGTGCGGGGGTTGACTTTCTTTTTTCCTCCTGCCGGTAAGGATGGTGATGACCAGAGTCTGACCCATGAGGCCGGTCACCAGAATCAGCCCGTCCAGAATGGGCACCAAGGTTTTAATCAGTGGGTTTTCTGTGCTGTTCATTTCGTCAAGGCCACTGTTGTTTATTTACTGCTCTGAAGTCTCCACGCAGTCGCGATAAAAGTCTGCTGAGCAATTAATCTAATGTCCTGTTAATGTTCAGCATCAGAACTAATGCAGTATCTGTGTGATTCACCTGCTGGCTCCAGTTCATGTCTTAAACTGCATTACCGGCATGATTACACTCCATTAAGACGGCTGGTACTTTAATAGCAATTAGTTAAGCACTTATTATCTCAATGGTTATCTGGTTCATTATTGACATTTGTAACCTTCACAGCAAGATGGAGCTTAAAAAGTACATTGTGGTTTATTTGTCTTTTGTTTGTGGAGCTGTAAATTGCATTTCCTAATACCCAGACTTGTCAGGTAGTTTAGTCTGCTGCTTTTGGTGCTTGAATCCCTCTTAAATGTGTGTCTTTCACACTGCGACTCTTACTGTTTTCCAGCTGTTTGAAGAAAGGTGAACTACTAAAAGAGGGTTGAATGTGGCACTCTCCTTTTCTGAAAATTTCTTTCCAAACATAAAGCTGCTATCCAGTTTTATTCAGGAAAAAAATATGGAAATATGAGATGAAAAAAACAGTCTTTGCACACTGGCTTTTCCTTCGCTGTATCAACATGTCCTTGTAAATCCAAGGAGGAGCGGTTCGGGTCAAAAACGGAGAGATGTCAGTGCAGCAGATGCTCTATGGCGGTATTGATTCTTGAAACCAGGCAACAGCGGACAAATTCATCCCAGCGGTTGCTAACAGGCAATCCTCTTCAAAGGCAGTCAGGGCTACTTGATGCTAAGTGCTCGCCGCGACAGGAGGCATCTTGTCCATTTAGAAGCTCTTCAGAGAATTGTAACCTATAGAAAAGTTGCTGTCCGTAACATTAAATCGGTGAAGGAAAAATGAGCAGTGATCAAAATAAAGAGTAACAAAAGCTTAGTAATTCTCTCGTTGTCACATGGGCTGCTATACTACTCCTAGGATTGTCAGAAAGGCTCTGTTCTGAGTTGTAATAGTCTTCCTTACAGTTTTTTTTTTCTCTGTTTGCACAGTAACCAGGGGCTGAGCTGATTTAGCCAATGGGAGGGGATACGGTGCTGTTTCTCATTACATAATATTGGCTTGAACCCACTTAATTCATCCCTGTTTAGTGTGTGATCATCCCTTAATCCAAACAATTAGCTGCTCAAACACACCCTTTTCTCTTTTTGGTTTTATACGACCTGACTGAGGTTGAAAAAAAAACACAAGTGTTATATGTTTGTGTGACTCTGGATTTGGCCCTGATCTGGTCTTTGTATTGCTTTTTGCTTTGTTAATAAGGTTTTCAGCATTAATACTGTCTTGCATTAAGGTTGATTATGGCACTTTGACATTCATCTGAAACATCTATTACAAAGCAATTATAGACTTTCAGCTAAGAGCAAACAGTTGTGTTCAGGTTTTTATTGTTGGCTGTAAGTGGTCATAAATGCGGTTGCTTGTGTAACTAAGGAGAGATGGATGAACACCTTGGAGCCCAGAAGGCTGTGTCCTTTTTCCATTATGCTGTGCGTCATGTGGGCACCACGGCAAAGCACTGTTTCTACAACTGTATGTGCTCTAACTGTGGGGGTCAAAGGACAAAACGAAAAAGTGCATATTGGAGGAATCTGCTTTATCTTTGCCATCCACGGGTTAAATTCTTCACCCTGGTCTGTGCCCCTGAAATGACTCAAGCTGTTCCAGTCGCAGTTTTCTTCCCAGAACAAGAAGTCCAGACCATGAATGAGCATCTCCACAAGGAGCTGTATTTGTATGTGCAGGCAGCTGGCCATGAAATGACAGGATGATACACACTCTTTAAACTCTGTCCAGGAACTTCAGCCGTGGCACACACTCAAACCTGTGGTATCGCTTCTATTTTACTCTCTTCCTTTTCACTTGCCTCTCCTTCTCCTCTTCTTCCTCGTGGCGTTGCGCCTGTTGTGAGCTGATGTGTGCAGATATGGAAACCTTAAAAGCATTTAAGGCTGCCTCTTTAGTACGACCTCACAGAGTTAACCATGGGGACAGCTACGACAATGATTAATGATTTGTTGAATTCTCAGTGAAGCTCCTCTTTAAAGCTCCTACTAGCACCCCTGGGAGATGTTATTTGTATAGTGAAATATAAAGAATTTTTTACTTCTTAAAGCTTTGGCTTGACAGCAACAAAAACTGTCATTGTGTTTCCAAAATATTTACCAACCTCCTTCCTCTCTGTTTCACAGATGTTGGGTCAGTCGAAGGCCTGGCGTACCACCGTGGATGGGACACTCTCTATTGGACCAGTTACACAACCTCCACCATCACTCGCCACACGGTGGATCAGAGCCGCTCCGTGGCCTATAACCGCAACACTGTAGTCACTATGTCTGGAGAGGACCACCCCAGAGCCTTTGTGCTGGACGAGTGTCAGGAGTGAGTCATTAATATCGAATCTTGGTGTTCTTTGCTAAATTATGGCCCAGTTCCAATTCAATTTCTTTTTCTTTCGCTTGAACAACAGTTTTATTTTAGCTCAGTCAACCATAACGTCTATACTGAGACATTTTTGGGAGCCGCCACTGCACATCACAGCGCTTGTCCTCTGTTTGTTCCCACCACAGTCTCATGTTCTGGACCAACTGGAATGAGCAGTCTCCCAGCATCATGAGGGCCTCTCTGAATGGAGCCAATGTGCTCGTGATCATCGGCAGTGACATTAAAACTCCCAATGGCCTGGCTATAGATCACCGCGCCGAGAAACTCTACTTCTCCGACGCCACTCTGGACAAGATCGAACGCTGCGAATATGATGGAAGCAGCCGTTATGTAAGGCTGGCTTTTAAATCATTTTTGCTTTGGTTGTAAAGAAGAAGCACCGTCGAGGCATGAACTTATATTTAATGTTTGTTTTTTGCTTCAGGTCTTGTTGAAGAATGAGCCTGTCCATCCGTTTGGCCTTGCTGTTTATGGAGATTACATCTTCTGGACAGACTGGGTGAGGAGGGCCGTCCTCAGAGCAGACAAGTACACTGGAGGAGACATGAAAGTGCTGCGTGCTGACATCCCTCAGCAGCCAATGGGAATTATTGCTGTGGCTAACGACACTAACAGCTGTGAGTATCATCCACTGCAGTCAATTAGTTTGCAGAGGACAACTCTTACTTACACAGTGCCAACAAATGGAAATTAGTGTTATAAAGACTTGCTCCTAAAAGACTGTTGGGGTATTTTTGAGATGTGCCAGTGACATGGTTCTGCCATGGTTGGTCTGTTGGTCCACCACTTTGGTTCAAGACTGAAAAAGCATGAAACATTTTTGCAGGTTTTTCCCTTTATGCAATCAGGCCAAACTTTTAGTTTGCCCAATATTTCATTTATGACCACATACCGTAATTTCTGGACTATTGAGCACACCTGAATATAAGCCGGACCCACTCATTTTAAAAAGAAAGAAAAAAAAAATTGTATGTATATTGGCCACCCTTGTCTATAAGCCGCAGGTGTCCACGTTGTAGCATGAGGTATTTACACAGAAAGATGTTACACAGAAAGATCTTTTTTTTTTTTCAACTTTTAGTTAAATACGTACCGGTAACATACGCAAATACGTACGTTTCCAAACAGTGCCTGTAACACAGTTGGTTAAAAAAACTAAAAAATACAGTAGCCTACCAGGAAAAGTCAATGATCATTATCTTCATCTTACTTCTGCGCCCCTAGAACCAGTAAAGTCATTTGTTTATTTAGAAGGGACAGTGCGTATTAAATTAATGCACGTACAATCTCAGGCTGCAGTACATACGGTGGATTTAGCACAAGGCTAATTTCCATCCGGTGTCTCATCTTCTTCAGTGTCGGAATTGAACAGCCTCAGAATTACTTCGTCACACACTTCCTTGGTCTCTCTTTCATTGTTGTTGCTCTCAATGTCACTTTCGTCTTGAGGCAAATTCCTAAAAATCGTAAAAATCCATAAATTAGTCGCATCATTGTTTAAGCCGCAGTGTTCAAAGTGTGTGAATAAAGTAGCGACTTATAGTCCAGAATTTACGGTAATGTTGTTTTCATCAACAGGTTAAACTAAAATAGTTATTATACCTGCTAAATATCCAAAGCTGGCACAGTACCTGTGTATAAATCTCACGCAGCTCCTACCTTCACTGTTATCTTGTGTCTTCCACAGACTTTAAATATGACCGAGCTACACAGCTGATGCAAAATGTTCAGTTTTTATGATACTTTCTTTGTATGGTGACTCATATCAGTAGATATAGTGCATCGTGCTGGGCTGTTGGCCAATCATTTGAAACCTAGAGAGAAATATATCCTTAAATAATCACTTAAAAATACTTCCCTGACTAATCTCCCGTGTTGCGTCCTCCTCAGGTGAGTTTTCTCCTTGCCGAACAAACAACGGAGGTTGCCAGGACCTGTGTCTGCCCACATCCGACGGACGGGTCAACTGCAGCTGCCGTGGAGACCGACAACTTCTTGAGGACAATACATGCTCCTGTAAGAGAAAGAAAGCAAAAGACTAAGCTTTAAAAAGCCTTCTCGGGAATAAAAAGCTTGAATTTGTCTGATTTCAAATGCTTCTACCTCACCAGCGCTGAACGTGTCGTGCGGAAGTGTCGATGACTTTGAATGTGGAAACGGCGACTGCATCAACTACAGCCTGACGTGTGACGGGATGGCTCACTGCAAGGACAAGTCTGATGAGAAACAGTCCTACTGTGGTGAGTTTTTATTTTTTTAGGATGGTTAGATGGTGAATAAAGAGCTGTTATTTATATCTTACATTGCAAAAAAATAGCTAGGGGTCATTTTAACAGCAATTTAGAATAAGTGCACGAATACAAATATGTGATATTGGATCACGAGAGGATCGAATCTTAGTATTTTGGACTGAGATAAGAAACAGAGAGTAAAAGTAATCTGTTTAATTCTAAATATAATTACAAGTTATTCATTTCATTTGTAAAATGAAGTTATAGGTAC